TGTCTGATCTCCACTCATTCACAGAGACAGACAAATAGACACACAGAGTGTGTGGCTTGAAAGCCGAAGGGGGGCTATTTGAAGGGAGAATGAACCATCTATAAGGGGAGAAGGAAAAGGTGGTAAGGGAACAAATAGTTGAAGCTTAGGGTGGTGGCATTTGTGTGTGAAGATGTCATGGAACCCATTGTCCTTTAGAAACTCATTACAGTTAAAGTACAGAAGTCTAAGTTTGACACTACACATCGTGATTCAACCTGAACCAGACCTGTGGGTGGTGTACAAGGGAAGGCAGGCTCTGCTTTGGCTGGGAGGTAAAGTTTTTTTTACATTTGCTGCTATGGTCATTAGTTTATATCTTTAAAGTTGATTGTAGCATAACTTTTAGAATTGTCCTCGCTTCTTGACTTCACTGAATTGCTACCTTCACATTCCAGACATTTAGAAATTTAAAACTAACTTAAAGGTGAATTAAATGAAAGAAAAATATAATGGAAAAGACAAATCTTTTTGCTAATAATGCTTTTTCCAGTAGGAAAGTGCTATTAGATGATTTATACACTTCTGTAATTACTATAAAAGAGGATTCAGTAAAAAGGAGGGGGTGCATTTCTTACCGCTGAACTGAAGTTCTGAAATATCTTGAAATCCGATTGACCAGCATTATTCAGATTTAGTTCATGCCCACCCACCCCCATTAATTTTTAATAGTACTAATTGAAAAGGCGGTTTTTATCCTGGTAAGTGGCCTAAACTACTTGACAGAACCCATCTTATTCCAAATGATGCTTCTTCAGTTCCTGGTGTGTATACCCTGTGCATCACAGCATTTATTATTCCTGGTGTAAACAAAACGAGGGCTTCAGGGGACCCTTTTAGTGCCAGCCCTTGAAACGCCAAGTCTAAGTGGTGGTTAGTGAGTCCTAAGAGCTATTATCTTTAGAAAGGAAATCATCTATTCCCGACGCTGTTGTTCCTTGGGGTTTGTACTGAATGTGAAGGAGGAACTTAGATTGGCAAAGTAGCTCATGATTATGCAGTCTGCTCGTGCATCCCTCCAAAGACTGCGCTGCCTGGGGAATCAAGTGCACTTGACAACTAGATCCTTAGTGTGTCAGCGTGGGAGGGGGTGGAGATAAAAACCAAATCATTAAATAGAGGGAAGTGGTCATTATAGCTAGCTCTGGGAAATACTTGTTTTGTTTTTGTTTTTGGCATGGATCTACCGTACAATCTCTGTACTCATTTAAGAAAATATTGTGCACGTATGAATTACATAAAGAAGACATTCTATAAGATTCACCAGGTGTGATGTGCACACCTTTAATGTCAGCACACAGGAGGAAGAGGGGGGTGGATCTCTGTGAGTTTGAGACCAGCTTGGTTCACATAGTGAATTCCAGACCAGCAAGGGTTCCCTTAGTGAGACCCTGTCTTCAGTTCTTCATTATTCACTATACGAAAAACAGGTGACTTTTTTTTTTTAACGTTTGTGTACACCTGCGTAAGTTCATGTGCACCACATGTATGCCAGTGCCTGCAGAGCCCAGAAGACCCCCGCTAAGTGACTTTTCTTAAGGTGCTTCTTTTTCTTCTTCTTTTTTTTTTTTTTTTTTCCTTTGGTTTTTCGAGACAGGGTTTCTCTGTGGCTTTGGAGCCTGTCCTGGCACTTGCTCTGGAGACCAGGCTGGCCTCGAACTCTCAGAGATCCTCGAGTGCTGGGATTAAAGGCGAGCACCACCAACACCCAGCCATTCTTTTTTTCTTTTTTAAGTTCTGTTTAACTGTGCCAAGTGGTTGGGTTGGTTTTTGTTGTTTGGTTTTGTTTTTTTGCTGTTGAGAAAAAGTCTCCAGTATCCCTAACTAGCCTTGAACTGTATGTTGGAGAATGACCTTGGACTTCAGAGCATCCTTTACCTCCCTGGTACTGGAATTACAGGCATGTGCTACCTACATTTGGTGTATGTAATGCTAGGGATCAAACCCAAAGCGCTGCATTCTAGACAAGAACTCTGCCAACCAAGTGATATCACAAGGCCGGGTAAGGATTCTCTCTATCTAGCTCTTTAAGTGTGCAATCTCATTGCTGGCTTTATGCCTAGCATCAGTAAGAACTCTTAGAAATGTTCTATAGAGTAAGGCAGGGTCACACACAGCACAAACCATATACCCAGAAGGCAACAGGCTTCAGTCTCCTGACTCTTGGCCCTTTGAGCCTTTCCCATGCGGTACCATGACTACATGCTGACATGACTTAAAGGCTCTGGCTCTTAAGTTAGGTAGTCTGGCTTCTTGGAAGACCGAAGACATCAATCACCAAGCTTCTAGCCCAGACCACTATGGCCAGTGCCCTACATCCCATCCATCTCATCCTAGAGGCCCCAGTGTTCTCTCAAATGGGAAGTGTTCTTTCCCACCAAACTAAGATTTTTGTCCTTATCTTCCAGCTAAGACCTACCCGGCTATTTCAGTAAAAAGCCTCCCACCTCCCTCTCCTAGGCAATGCTGCAGATTTGAATCTTCTAGATGTCTTTTTAATCTGCCCTATCTCTTTCGCAGTCCACACCCTCGACCCCTCGACTCTAGAGACTGGAAGGATTCCCTTGGTCTTTACCATTGTGTCCCTTGGGAGCCTTCTCATTGTTCCTAAGATAAGAACTGAAGTCCTTTAAGGCATCCTGAGCCACTTGTATCCATCATCCACCCAATGCCTCTGGGCTCATAGTAAACTGCCAAGCATTAGCCGAAACTTAGTGTGTGGGAAAACATCACCTGATGTTTGTAAACTGAGAAAATCTTCCAAACTGTAGCACATTAAATTGAAGAGAATGTCTTGGATAAAAAGAAGCTACACTTTTCTCCCAAATCAGCAGGGTAGTCATGGCTGGAACTGAGCGCGCTTCTGTTTCTGAACTCCTAGTTAGTTTAGCAAATAGTAAACACTGGGCTAGATAACCTCCTAGGCACCTAACCAAAGCTTTCAGGAAGCTTCAGGTAGACTGCAGACTGGTATCAGGTGGACTGCAGAACGGGCAGAGCCTCTCATACTTGAGAGGCAGGACCAGTTGTATGAGCACATGTGTGTGAATATGAGTACACATGTCAGTGACAGCTTCTGTGAAAGCATTTTCAAAGGACCAGAGCTAAGGTTCTACACTTTAGGTCTAATAGGTTTTCTGTATTGTGATAACAGGTTTTTCTACTGATGCATTAAGCCAGATCAAGCTGAATTGAAAAAGTAAAAGAACGGGTTTATTTGAGCAAAGCAACTCCCAGGTGAGTTCTCCAGCCCCAGAGATGGAGGCAGGAGAAGTCATGCATCTGAACTAAAGCAGGGACATTATATAGGTTGTAGGTGGTTTATGCCCAAGTATGGTCAAAAACTGAGCACTTTAGGCGGGGACTTGGGCTACTGGCAACTTTAGTGGAGGAGCTGCTGCAGGAGCCAAGAATTTGGAACTGGGCTTTTGGACGCCTTTTCTTTGTTGGAGGGTGGGGTTTGGAAGAGGAAAGGAGTTTTCTGGATCAAGCAGGAGTGAGCTGGAGGCTCCAACTGAACAAGGGCCACCAGCCCTTCTGATCTTGGTGACTGGAGATGAGGCAGCCCAGTGTGGAGCTTATAGAATGGAGACCAGGGCAGGGAGCCCTGAATTCTTTCAAGAGCCAGTAATGGCCCCAGCACCAAGGACTTGGGGAAAGGCTACCTTTCTTCAGCAGTGCGTCCAGAAGTTTCCAAGTGAGTGGACATCTTGTCTCACTGACCAACATCCTTAGGAGAAACAATATGGTTCTGTATCTGATTGGTTTTGAAATAGGATCTTGCTGTGCAACCCAAGTGGGCCGTGATTGCAGAATGTTCCTGGCTCCGAATCCCAAATGTGAGGATAACGGGTGTGTGGAACAGGATTATTGATGGTGCTTGTATTTTAAAACAGGCTAGACACTTTGTAAAGATCACCAACCTTACAGTTTTATATCTTGTGTGATTGTCACATGCCAATAATCCAATACTCAGGCAAGATCACAGCTTCAAGGGCTGTGTGGACTACATAAGAACCTGTTTGAGAAATAAATAAAAATTAGAAGTTAGGTAGACATTTAATGTCATAGAATTATATTGTCATATATTTTTTGCATTAAAAATTGTTTGCATTAAAAATTATCTTTTATAGCCAGGCATGGTGGTGCACTCCTATAATCCAAGCACTTAAGAAGTAGAGACTAGAGCTGGGTGATGGTGGCACACGCCTTTAGTCCCAGCACTCGGGAGGCAGAGGTAGGTGGATTTCTGTGAGTTCCAGACCAGCCTGGTCTACAGATTGAGTTCCAGGACAGCCTCCAAAGCCACAGAAAAACTCTGTCCCAAAAAAAAAAAAAAAAACAAAAAAAAACAAAAAGAAAGAACGAAAGAAAGAAAGAAAGAAAGAAAGGAAGGAAGGAAGGAAGGGAGGAAAATGGATAAAGTTCATGAAGAGACAGAAATAGTTAATATATGTTTCACATCACTAAATATCATTCATATCATAGGAAGGGAAAAAGGTAATTTTAACAAAGAGTCTGAACAAAGTAGTAGTGCAGATCTGGGTTGTATGGCTCTGTAGCAGAATACTTACCTGTAGCATGCACCAAGCCCTAGGTGTCCCATTCTCCCAGCACTAACAGCAACAACAAAAAGAGTACCAATATATGGGGGTTTGGGCAGCACTCATATTTATGTCCATAGTATCTGAATCCTTTTATAACAAGTACATATATGTTAAATCATTAAAACAAAAACATAGTATCTCTTGTTAATTTAAAACAAAGTGAGGTGAAGCTGGAAAGATGGCTCAGTGGTTAAGAGCACTAGCTGCTCTTCCAGAGTACCTGAGTTCAATTCCCAGTACCCACATTGTGTTGGCTCACAACCGTCTACAATGAGATCTGGTACCCATTTCTGGCCTGCAGCTATACATGCAGGCAGAACACTGTATACATAATAAGTGAATAAATCTTTAAAAAAAAGAAAGAAAGAAATGAAAAGAAAGCCAGGTGTGATAGTAATGCCAGTGTGTAAGAGACTGAGGCAATTGTAGCACAAGTTCCAGGCCAGCTTGGGCCATACCGTAGTAGTATTTTTCAAAACAAACACAAAATCCAATGAACCCTGCTTGAGTCTACTTCTCAAAACTTACTGTTCTGTGATCTGAGCAGGCTGCCTACGTTCTTTAAAATGAAAGTAGCTAGACCTCAAATACCTCGTTAGTGCAAGATAAGATGATAGTATGTGAAGGGGTATGAATAGTGAACATCCTATAGTCAGCAGCTGCTGTCATTGACAAGGAGAACAGAGTGGTGGTCTGACCTCTGATACTTCAGGAGGTAGAGAATCTCACAGTTCATCAGTATTGAGACTTTATAATTTTCATCAGTATTGAGACTTTATAATTTTTCAGTACTGAGAACACCATTTCACAATAAGTACCTAGTGAAAAATGCAAAAGTATATGTAGGGTCATTTCAAAAACTATTGGAAATTTTGTCATAATTTCAAGGTGAAATTTGTGTAATGATTTTTTTTAATGAAACTCAAACACAGTTTAGAGATTTTTGTTTCTTTGTTTGTTGGGAGGGTCGAGACAGTATTTCTCAGTGGAGAGTCTGTTTTTTGCAGTCTGGCATTCTAAAGTTTACTAACAATCCAGAGATGCAATAACTTGATACTTAGATGCTGAGGCATGATAGTCAGGTAACACTCTTCCCCCACCCCCTATAGAGCTTCTCTGTGTAACTGGCTGCCCTGGAACTCTGTAGACCAGGCTGACCTCGACCTCAGAGATTCACCTGTCTCTGCCTCCTGAGTGCTGAGATTAAAGGTGTCTGCCACCTCTACCTGGCAGGAAAACACTCTAATCATGTTGTCCTTGACTAAACCACTGTTTCTGTTAAAGCAGAGATCATCGTGTGCATCTCTACAGCACTGCAGTTTATAATACGGAGTGATCACACATCAGGTGCATTGGTGATGCAGGCACTACATTCACTGTGTAGTGCTCGTGCTATGAATCCAGACCATGGCTGCCGTGAAGCCCTGCCCCACAACACCTCAGATCCCCCACAAGTCTACAGGAACTACCTTTTGCAACTGTGTTGAGAAATGCTTTGTTGTTGCCATTTGTCATGCCCTTCCTTCACAATCAGTTAGGTGACCCTGCATGGGCTGGGCCATATTCCCACTAAGATATTAGCATTGATGTGTCATCTGTGGGACATTTCCATTGCCACAGGTATTCCTCAGGTACCCTTTTTGTAGCAATGTTACCTGCTTCCCCTCACCTTAGCACTGCAAGTCTGTTCTCCATGTCTCTAAATTTCATGGCTATTATATCAAAGGACTCACACAGCATCAAACTTTTGGTGGCCTGCCACTTTCACTGAGCATAATTCACTCTTGTATCTTCTGTCTACAATAGATTGTTCTGTTCTGTTTTGTCCTGGAAACAGTCTCACTGTAGACCAGGCTGGCCTTACACTCACATCCCCCACCACCACCACCACCCCGACCACCTTAGCCTTTGGAGAGTTGAGATTAGTGTGTTTGCCATCATGGCCAGCAATGGTTCATCTCTCCCAGTGGACTAAGTGGTTCATACCATACCCTAACTATTCAACAACTAAAGGATAGCTGGGTTGTTTCTGGTAAAACCACTATAATAATATACAGTTTTGTGTAAAAGTACATTTTCATTTATTGGAATAAATGTATTAGAGTAGCCATTGGGTTATATGTGGTCTCCAGGCCATCTGTACCATCTCCCTAGTTCACCAGGAGCATGAGCCAGTTCCTCTACATACTCAACCCCCTCCACCCCGCCCCCACCCCCCTTGAGTGTGCTGACACTGTTTCTGTTGGGGTGGGGGCTGGCACTACACTACACTGTCTGTCCACTTTCCATCTGTCTTTCCCCTCTGGTGACCTCTTCAAGTATGTCTCACTTTATTTCATGCTGGTGACTTTCAAGTTCTTTCTGTACGATGCAAGTACAGACCTTCTAAGGAGCTGCCTGCCTGTCCATCCTCTTAGCAGAATTGTTTCTGGAGCCAACACTTGTAATTTCACCAAGTCTGACTTTACCACTTTCTCCTTTTGTAGATCCCTAAGTTTGGGTTTTTTTTTTTTTTCCTAAAATTCTTATAGTTGTGTGTTTTATACTTAAGCCCGTGGTGCCTTTTTAAATTTGTGTTTGAAAGTGTGAGATTTGCCTCTGGAGGTCCAGCCTGTCCAGCTCTGTGCTGTGGTTCTGCTGCCCCTGGAACATCCACCTGCTTCTCTCAGTGCTTGAGCTCCATGTCTAGGCTCTGTTGAAGTAATGTCCGTCTCTTCTAATACGAGTCTTGAATTCTGTGCCACTCTCACATCTTGGGCTTGAGTCAAGGGACCGACTTCCCCACTTTTTTTGTTCATTTCTAAAAAGCGTGGTCTACTTCTTTTGCCTTCCACACATCTTTACTTCTTTTGCCTTTCCACACATTTTCCAACAATTTTGTCTGTCTACAAAAAGAAATCTTGCTGAGGATTTGGGACTCAGCAGTTTGTGTTTTCCACATATAACCCCTACACATTCTGTTAGATTTAGTTGTGTATTTCATTATTTGGATTGTAGTGGTTGTGTGTGTTTCATTTCCATGTTCATTCCTAGTATATGGAATTACAGTTAGAGATTGGGTATATATATATGTCCAAATATATATACATATCCAAATTCCTTACTAGTTACAGGAGCTATTGTATAAATTGCCTGGATTCTGTACACTATAGATTTGCTTCTGCCTTTCCTGGCTGTAGACTTTTATTTCCGTCTTGTTTTGGTTTTCTACCTCCCACTCTGGGTGCTGCAGGAGGGAAAGGGTGCAACCTTTTCTTGCTCTAGTTTCAGAGAAAACAATGCTGTTCCCCGGGGTGGGCTTTCCTGGTGTGCTTAAGAAAAAAGAACCATCTAGGGATTTCAAGAACCTGGCAGGTCCGGCTGCTTCTCACAGTAAACAGATCGGGTCCCAAGGACTATGGTTCACTGACTGAGTAATGGAAAGCACAGAATTTCAAGTAGGTGCATTCAAATTTAAATTTTGACTTCTTTGCCTTCCCAGTGAAAGGCCTGGGGCAACTTACTTACAAATCTCAAAATCCATTTCCTCCTCCACAAAAGGAGCGCCATTACTAATGGATATGCAAGCCTTTGTGGCACTAGCTGTGGTGGAGGAGAAGCCTTGCTGTGACTCCTCCCAGCACTTGAGTGGTTCTATCTTGGTGGAAGATTGATTGGTCGAATTCTCAGGAATCATTAGTGTTTGCTTTGGGATCTTTAAAGGGCTAGGTGGTCCACGTATGTTTCTAGGACTGAGGCTTGCAGGTACACTACTCGGGTTCATTCCCCAGCTTCAGCAAGTCACCCCGAGTTACCCTAGATGACATCATCTGAACCTGAGTACTGGCAGGTCCCAGTCCAAGCACTGTTGTGGATTAAATGAGTTGATGTATGTACCAAGTCTAACAGCGCCTTACAGGTTAGCTGTGAACATTACTATAAAGTTAGGACACATTCTTATTTGTGGAACACCTTTCTTAAAAATAAAATTGTTTACTTTGCAGATTTTTTAAAAAATGGATTTGACCAACCATGGACTTATTCTACTGCAGCAGTTAAACGCTCAGCGAGAGTTTGGTTTCCTGTGTGACTGCACGGTTGCAATCGGCGATGTGTACTTCAAGGCACACAAATCAGTTCTTGCTTCATTCTCCAATTACTTTAAGATGTTGTTTGTCCATCAGACCAGGTAACTAAAGTGGTTGATAATAATCTATGGCTATAGACCTCCTGACTCTGGGTCCTGCTTCCCTCTGAGCACACTCTTTGCCTTCATCCAGACCACAAGTCTCTCTGCCTCTCCCTGATGTCCAGGGACCCATCCCCATGACTGTGTTAGCCCACCTTTCCCCTGCCTTTCTTGGTGACTTACTAATTCTTTCACTAGTGCTTGGGAATCGCCTCCCTACCTGGCCCCATGCAGCCCCTCCCCTCCCCTCCCAAACTGCCTTCTGCCTGAGTACCACCTAAGATTGGTAGTGACAGCCAGGAGACCTCAGGGCCCTGTCAGTAAGCCCTCCTCCAGGCCTGGTCCCTGAATACCCCTCCTTTGAATATTTAGTTTCAAATGAGTAGCTGCAGGGCACAAATTCCATTTCCCTCTTTTCTAATGTAAAATCTGACTTTGCTCTCATGGTTTTTTGTTTTATTTTGTTTTCCTTTAATTTCTCCTAAATGAGATTTTTACACAAAAGAATCTCTGGGTGTGTAAAGAAAATAATCTCCCCCTCCCTACCTCCCACCTCTCCATTTTCCTCTGTTCTTCATAACTCTTCTCTCCCCCATTCTTCCCCACCTGGTCTGAGCAGAAGACCTTCCTTGACCTTGCCGGCTCCTGGAATACAGCCCTGTTCTCTGTTCTTGAACCTTCTTAAAAGGGCTGCCTGCGCCACTGTGGGTCTGCTCTTCCCACATTGTTCCTGTGCATTTGCACTGTGGTTTCCTGTCTCCACTGCAGCCCCATCCCAAAGGGCACCTCTTCACCCGAACACTGCCATCCTCCTGTTCTGCATTCCTCACTTGTGACCAAATGTCCTTTGTTCTTCACCTCTACACTGGGCCTTGGGCCTCCTGGGCCCCTACTATCCTTGCACGTTGTCTGTGGTGGGCAGGTCATCTTCTCAGGCTTTGCTTTTGCTGGTGGGAACTTTCAAGTTTCAGCTCCAGCCTCCATCTTTCTGTCTGTAGAACCCTGTTCCTAAGTACCCGGCCCTGGCTGCCTGCTGGTCATTTAGACCTGGCTGCCTCTGCTCTGTTTTTTCTCATTGGATATGGATAAACCTGAACTAAGGCTCTTTCTCCCCCAGAAGAGCCCTGCTTGCCTATGTTCTTCTCAAGCAGCCCAAGCATCACATCTATTTCAGACCATATGGTATTGATCCCCCAGGTCATATCTCTTCAGTACGTCCCATGTGCTCTGTCCTTCCTTTCTTACTCCCATTTTGTAACTGTTCATCTCTCACGTCACTGTCAGATGAATATTCCTGGAGACTGGGTGAGGCAGAACTTAGGAGAGGGTACACTGAGCAGATCACTCTGTGAAGCAAGGCAGGTGTCTAAGCTCTTTAGTCTGCCTCCTAGGAGTGGGGCACTCGGCCTTGATGCCTGACACTTGAGCATCTCTGGGATGCCATCTTCTCTTTGACCTGCCTGCTTCTGTAGCTCTCTCACCTGAACCAGACTTTCTGAGTGTCCGGCCTACTCCCTGATGTCCCTAATCCTTGACTTCCTAGCCAAGTGGACAAAATCTTCAAGGATGACTACATTGTGCTGCTTATAGCAGCATTTCCTCTACATCGCTTTCTGTCTACTCACCCCCCTCCCCACACACACACACACACACACACTTATAGTGAGTGGCAGAGCAGTGAGTTTGATAGATCTCCTGGGATACCACGGGGTATGGCTGAGGTGTATGCTTCTAATAGTTAAAACTGAGAAAATTCCCTTTAAGCAGGGCTCATGATTTGCATTCCTGTAATCTTAGCACTTGGAGGGGAGGCTGAGGCATGTAAGTTGTCCGGTCTAGACCAGCCAAGACCCTGTTTCAAAACCAATTTGTTTATATATTCCCCATCTTTTAACATCGTTTTTTGTAAAAGATGTTATTTGCAGCCATTAATCTCAACACTGAATCAAATGACCTTGCAAATGAAATGTCCAGCTGGGTGGTGGTGGCACACACCTTTTTAATCCTAGCACTCAGGAGGCAGAGGCAGGCGGGTCTCTGGGTGTTCAAATCCAACCTGGTCTACAGAGTTAAGGACAGCCAAGCCTTTTCATAGAAACCCTGTCTCAGAAAAGCCAAAAGAAAGAAAGAAATGTCTTTAATTTTGAAGTGTAAAAAACAATGTAATGTTTTAATTAGATGCAAGAAACATCCCTTATTTTATGTATAGGGCAATGAACAAATGTCTTTCTAAGAAAGGGATGTGATCTTTGTGTTAGCTTCTGCAGAGGCCACCAAGGCAGTTACATCATCACCTGTCGCCAAGTGCCTTTCTACTGTCAGCTATGCCAAGTGTGCATTCCTTAAAAGTGCCCTCCAGGCACAGCTCTAGCTCTTGCGTCTTGCTCCTCTCTTGCCACTCTTCCCCTTGTCTCCTCCCTGTTCTCTCTGTGTCTGTCTGTTTGCCTGCCTCTCTCATGCCCCCTCCCCAAAGCATGACCTTTTGCTCTTTCACTCTTGACCCTCCCCCTCTCCAATAAGCCCCTCCCACTAACTGTTTGGAATGGCATGTTTGCTTGGTGGCATACCTTGGCAGGACCCACCCACAGGTATCTACTTCACCTTTCCTTTTTTTTTAATCATTACACTTTGTATCTGAGAACACCCACCTGGTGGCCATCCTTGTACACCTCTATATGCAGAATTCAAATTCAAGCAGCAGAGGGCAGCATGCTTTCAAGCAGTGCTTCCTGCCTCCTGGTAGGGGCAATTGTTCCACCCCTAGCTAGAGACTGAGCCCATGACTGAGTCTTTCATGTCCTACAGCTACCACTAGGTGTCTCTATCTCTTCTCTAGACTGAGCGCTCAAAAATAAAACTTCATGCTAAGAATAACCAGCCGAGTGTGGTGGCGCATGCCTTTAATCCAGTACTTCAGAGGTGGTGGCAGGTGGGTCTCTCTGAGTTCAAGACCGTCCTAGTCTGGTCTACATAATGAGACCCTGTCTCAAAAAAAAATTAAGCATTATTTAAGACTCTTACTCTAAAATTCTAGTGAAGGAGAAGCTGAACCTGGAATTACTAGGAGCAGCAGCGTTTGTGACTTGGCTAACACTCGCTTTGCCCTTCTCCGCCATAGAAGCGATACACCTGGCAGGTGCCTGTATGGCAAAGCTTAGCTGGAATTGACTGTAGTGTAGATGATGGAGAAGTAAGTCTGGCCCCTATCGTATCCAGTGGATAGGAAGAAAGAGAGGTCCAGCCAGTCCTGAATAAAAGGGGCACAGGGCTTCAGTAGCTGGAATGTCACAGAAGGAGCTGCATACATATGTGAACACATATGCTTGCTGGGCAGCCCCAGGGACTCCCAGCAGCTAACATGTAGGGTGTTGACTCCCAACTCCATCCTGTCCTTGCCACGAGGAACTTCTTTAAAACTGGAGAGGCTTATTACTGTCACTAACTACTTGAAGCAATCAACAGAATGACCTGTCCAACCGAAGTGAGCAACTGCAAGCCCTTGTGGAAAGGGGCTCAGCTGGGTAGGAGCTTTGTGAATGATGAAAGGTAGCCCTGCCTCTATTTCCCTCCTCTCTTGAGGACCACACTCATCTCCTGGAGAAACACACATCTCTGTAGGCTTGGGTTTCTGTGGGTCTTTACCTGATCATGCCAGTGGTGGCGCATACTTTTAGTTCCAACACTGGGAAGCAGGAGGTGGATCTCTGTGAGTTCCAGGCTAGCCTGATGGTCTACACATGATACACAGGAAGACCTTGTCTCAGAGAGGACGAGAGAGAGAAAGACTAACAATAATGAACAATCTAACAGTTTGTTGTTTTTTTTGTTTTTTTTTTTAAGAAAACTATCAGATTCAAATTTCCACTCCCTTTGTACTGTAGGTGGGTGCCAGGTTGTGTACCTTCTTTGTACTGTTTGACATTGAGTTTTGTAGTTAAATGTGAGTACTCTATGATGTCTTAAGCCTTCATGAAATCTACACTGTGGTACCCATCCAGTAATTATTCATATTTGTCCTGTCAGAAGTCCATCTTGAAATCAAATTAGCCTTTTCTCTTTTCTTTTACTACTATTTTTTTTCCTTAGACAGTGTCTATCACTGTAGCTAGACTAGTCTTGAAGTTCAGACAGTCCTCCTTGCCTCATCCTCCTGTGTGCTAGGATTATACATCATACCTAGATCATCCATTTTTATTTTAATAAAATGTTAAATTTAGGACATTGAGTATGCTGTTAAAATTTTAGAATGGTGAGATGATTGACTTAAACAACAAAAGTAATTATAATTGCTAAATCTGCCAAAAAAGATCATTAATGCCAAGAAGTTACATAACCAAAACTCTTGTAAATTCTAAGGTGTTCAAGGGAACTGTTTCCGAGAATGTGTAGGATATATTCACTCCATGGGTGATACTGTATGTCTCCTGTGCTACAGAGATACGTATTTCATTTTGCTCCGGATACTGTAGAACTTCTTTTAGTGAAGATGGTCTGAGGAGAGCTCCCCACTTCTTCACTATTGCTGTTTGGTCGGGAAGTGACACCAGTCTGAAAGGTAGACAGCCAGCTGGCTCTCTGTGTAGGTAGGTGGTTTGGCACCATTCAGATGGGACTAATGAAACCCAGCATCTGCCTGCCCCACAGAGCTGTTTTGTTGCTCTGAAGGATCCCCCTGTGGCTTTGGAATTAAGTAGGTCTAGGTTCAAATCCTGGCCCTATCACTCACCAACCCTAAGGTGGGCATAGTGCTACCCCTGGGCCTCACCACCTGTAAAGTAAGGACTATGGGCAGTTGTCAGAATGACTGACTGTAAAGCCCACAGCAGGACCCCTGTCGATACTAGCGACATTGATGAAGATTGTGTTGTCCATAGCACTTTCCAGTGCCACCTAGCAACACTGGGAAGGTGACCAGGCTCACTTGCCCCTTGCTGGAGAGGTCTTATGACTTAGAGAGCTGTGGACCTCCAACAGTTTAGCATCCTTTGTTTAAGTGCTGTTATGCTAGCAACCACTCCTGTGTTGATTTACAGCTTTAAAGACTTTCTGATCAGATTAAATTTTTTCACTTGCCTCAGGCTGATGAGTGACTCCATGGTTAGTGTTCTTCCAAGTGTCTTGGTTGCTCTTCAGGCTTTGTTTCCATCTAAGTAGCAGGTTGGTGTTTCTTCATGGCTTTCTACTGTTTTTCAGTGAATGTGTTCGTCTGAAACCCACTGACATACAGCCTGACATATTCAGCTATCTGCTCCACCTGATGTACACCGGGAAGATGGCCCCACAGCTGATCGACCCTGTGCGGTTGGAGCAAGGGATCAAATTCCTACACGCATACCCCCTCATCCAGGAAGCCAGCCTCGCCAGCCAAGGTACCTTTTCCCATCCTGAGCAAGTCTTCCCGCTGGCCTCGTCATTGTATGGCATTCAAATCGCAGACCACCAGCTGAGACAAGCCACCAAGATGAATTTAGGGCCTGAGAAACTTGGGCGGGAGCCAAGGCCTCAGGCATCCAGGATGAACCAAGAGCCAGTGCCAGAGACCTCGCAACTGTCCCAGCTGACTACAAACCTGGCACAGGTGAATCGAACGAACATGACTCCCGCGGACCCCCTGCAGACCTCGCTGTCACCCGAACTTGTCTCCACGCCTGTTCCTCCCCCTCCTCCTGGGGAGGAGACCAACCTCGAGGCCTCTTCCTCAGACGAGCAGCCATCTTCCCTCACGATCGCCCACGTGAAGCCAAGCATCATGAAGAGGAACGGAAGCTTCCCTAAGTACTATGCCTGCCACCTCTGTGGCCGGCGCTTCACGCTGCGTAGCAGCCTGCGAGAGCACCTGCAGATCCACACCGGGGTGCCCTTCACTGCCGGCCCACCCGGGGAAGGCCGCGGGCCACTGTCGCTCTGCAACAATGCAGCTGACCTGGGCAAGGATGCACTGGAAGTGCCCGAGGGAGGCATGATCAGCGACAGCGAGCTGCAGCACATCTCCGACTCCCCCATCATCGATGGGCAGCAACAGTCGGAGACACCACCGCCCTCGGACATTGCAGACATTGACAACCTGGAGCAGGCGGACCAGGAGAGGGAAGTGAAGAGGCGCAAGTACGAGTGCACCATCTGTGGCCGCAAGTTCATCCAGAAAAGCCACTGGCGCGAACACATGTACATTCACACGGGCAAACCCTTCAAGTGCAGCACCTGTGACAAGAGCTTCTGCAGGGCCAATCAGGCCGCGCGCCACGTGTGCCTCAACCAGAGCATCGACACGTACACCATGGTGGACAAGCAGACGCTGGAGCTCTGCACCTTCGAGGAAGGCAGCCAGATGGACAACATGCTGGTGCAGGCCAATAAACCCTACAAATGCAACCTGTGTGATAAGACGTTCTCCACCCCCAACGAGGTGGTCAAACACTCCTGCCAGAACCAGAACTCAGACGTGTTTGCCCTGGACGAGGGCCGCTCCGTCCTCCTGGGCAGTGGGGACTCGGAAGTAACGGAATCTGACCGTCCTGTGTTAGCATCCATCAAAAAGGAACAGGAAACTGTATTACTAGACTGAATGTTACTTGTCTTTTTAAAAACTGTCATTTTTACACAGAACCTTCTCCCTCCCCCATTCGGGACAGTTTCTCCATGGCATGATACAAACGGGCCCACTCCTTTCCAGTCCCCTTCCCCAGCCCCATCCCCGTAAGGCTTTGTGCATATAAACCTGGACTCTATTTACTTTCATTCAGGGGATATTGGATGGATAATGGTCAGTAGGATTTATAAAGAAATAGGTTTTGAGAAGTTTTAGATTATTTTAAAAAACCTACTTGGAAATAATTAAGAGTATATAATAAAACAACTAGAATATAATTTGGTAAGCTAAAATTATGACTGTCCCTGGGTAATAAGTCTTCCTTCTCAAAGAAACAAAGTCGGAAAATACAGCATGCTTCTTAGAGATAAAGCTGGGCTCTGCTATGCAAATCTAGAAGGTGTGGGGAAACTTGAAACCCAAGAAAATGTTTTTACTATTTGCCCTCTAGGTGTCTGATTTCAGAGTGTATCCTTTTGAGATTATGTCCAGTTAAGGAAAATCACTAGTTAAGAAATCAACAAAATGCAAAAGAGTAATAATGTGATGGCAATCTTCATTTTTGGATCAAACCTGACAGGCTGTGAGTTTGTGTGTGAGCGGACACATGGATACTTGCTACAAACAGGAGAATTGACGCACATGCCTTACCCGATGCTGGCCTCTTTCCAAGATGAGCAGGAAGATGCTGGGGTTTGGTTTCTGACAAGCTTGTTTTAAAATCAGATCTGAAAGCACGCTTCTATAGAATGTCTTTCCTAACAGCTAGTGACATGCCATTTCCTAGCAGTTGCCAGTGGTGAGCATGTGTCAGCGCCAGCCAGCTGCCTGTAAAGTCAGTGTGTGTATGTGCTGCAAGGAAAGGACTGTAGAAATATGCATCTTACAAGGGAAGTTGTGAGCAGAAAGTGTAACTAATGAGTGCAAAAGTTGATGCTGTCTGGCTTGGTGGTGCCCATCTGTGACCCCAGCTCTAGGGGAGGGGGTGGGGGGAGGACCAAAGGCAGGAGAATTGGGAATTTGAGGCCAGCCTGGGCTACATAGAGAGACCTTGCTTTAAAAAAAATAAATAAATAAAATGCAGTGCCATAGTTCACTGGTGACATCTACTAAAGCATCAAAAAGTAACAAATAGAAATCAGGATGACAAAAAAAATCTAATTTCTTCTTGGAGGAAAAAAAAAAACAAAAACACCAATTGATTTTAATATGTATTCTCCAATTTTTGTTAACACCTGAATTTTTCCCCACTGGCCTAACAGCATTAAAAGTTGTCCATTAATCTTCCCTTGGGCCAATAAGAAAATGGTCTCACAGGATGCAACAGGAGCCAGAAGTGAGGGCTAAGGGGTGAGGGGTGGGGATAGTGCATAGCTATACCGTATGTGTATGTTAGAAACTGAATATCCCATCACCCTCTTATATGTATAGCTGAGTTCTCAGATTTGTAAGTTTTTATACATCCTTTCATTGAATAAACATTTAATTAAATGGGCATGTGATTTTTCTCTTGCATGTTTGTCTACCCAAAGAACACAGAAAGGAGGCATGTGGAAGCCTTGCATCCTATGTCATTAAGTCATTGCATCAAGAGTCATTCTAGCTGTCAGATAGACCTCGGGCAGTTTCTCCCATCAGGGTGCCGTTGTTCACACAGATAAAGCGGAGAAGTGTGTAATTACAGTGGGTCATGAATTTGTGAGACTGCAACGAGCTCCAGAAGATGCTTGAGCAGGCTAAGGCTCACAGTGTGTGTAGATGTCATCCGACCAAATATCTTTACAAAGAAGGAAGCAATCAGGAAGTACAAAGCACAAGATGAACCTAGATTCTTAAACGCTGAGAAGTCTAGCTATTCCATCCTTTTTAGTTATATTTGAATCTCCATAGACATGAAACAGCCTTGGGAGGGGAGGAGTCGTGAGTTAAAAAAGCTGTGCTGTGCTGTGGTTTTTTAGTTTTTTCGGTTTGGTTTGGTTTTTCGAGGCAGAGATCCGCCTGCCTCTGCCTTGAGTGTGCTGGAATTAAAGGCGTGCACCACCACAGCCCGGCTGTGCTGTAGGCTTTTTACACCTTTTTATTTATGGCCCCACCCAGTACCTGGCTCCTCCATGCTCCTTGTCACAGATTATATTGAACTAAGTTACTTACTGTCCAACTTCCCACTGCCCACCCCCTGAAAGGATATAAAAGTTGGTCAGATACTGTCCTTCCTTCAGGAGCATTTCTCTAGAGCAGTGGTTCTCACCCTTTCTAATACTGCAACCCTTTAATACAGTTCCTCATGTGGTGACCCATAAAATTATTTTCTTTGTACTTCGTAGCTGTAATTTTGCTACTGTTTTGTTTGTTGTTGTTTGAGACAGGATTTGTCTGTGTTTAGCACGTCTGTGAACTTGCTCTATAGATCAGACAATTTTTGCTACCATTAGGAATCATAATGTAAATACTTTTGGAGCTAGAGGTTTAACTTAGCGGGTCCTGAACCACAGGTTGAGAACCCCTACCTACTTACTCAAAAGGTTCCTCTTCAGGGCCTCTCCCCATCACCCTAGCTATAACAGCTCTTTTTGTTGTTTTGAGACAGGGTTTCTCTGTGACTTTGCAGGCTGTCCTGGAACTAGCTCTTGTAGACCAGGCTGGCCTCGAACTCACAGAGATCCACCTGCCTCCAAGTGCTAGGATTAAAGGGGTGCACCACCATGGCCCGGCTTCTCTTATTCTTTAAGCTATTATTTTGTTTTTGTTTTTGTTTATTGAGACAGGGTTTCTCTATGTAGCTTTGGAGCCTATCCTGGCACTCGCTCTAGAGACCAGGCTGGCCTCAAACTCACAGAGATCCGCCTGTCTCTGCCTCCCGAGTGCTGGGATTAAAGGTGTGCACCACCAATGCCCGGCTTAAACTATCATTCTTAATGAAGCTTCTCTCTGGGTTTTTTGTTTTTGTTTTTCTTTGTTTTGTTTTTGTTTTTGTTTTGAGGCGGGGGTTGAGACAGGGTTCCTCTGTGTAGCCTTGGCTGTCCTGGACTGGAACTCACTCTGTAGACCAGGCTGGCCTTGAACTCAGAGATCCACCTGCCTCTGCCTCCTGAGTGATGGGATTAAAAGCATGCACCACCACCACTGCCCAGCTTCACCACACCTGGTTTATGTGGTGCTAGCCATAGAATGCAGCACTAGGCAAGCATCCTACTAGCTGAGTGACACCTCAGCCCAGAGCCCAATAGTTTCTCCGGAGTTCCCAGATGGTGCTGCTGCTGCTGCTGCTGATTGTACTCTGAGCAGTGCAAGTTTCCTGTCCATCTCTGCTAGAGAATAGTGGGGGTTTTTTGTTTGTTTGTTTTTTGCTCTTTGTTTTTTGGTTTTTCGAGACAGGGTTTCTCTGTGACTTTGGAGGCTGTCCTGGAACTAGCTCTTGTAGACCAGGCTGGTCTTAAACTCATGAAGATCACCCTGCCTCTGCCTCCAGAGTGCTGGGATTAAAGGCATGCGCCACCACCACCCAGAATAACTGTCCTTTCTTCCCTTGTGTTAGCTTCTCAGGGTTGTAAGAGTTTGCAGGCTCTGGGGTTGTTCTCAGCTTCCTGTCCTCATTCCAGATGTGCTTGGAACCTTTGAGCACTTACTAAGAATGTAGTAGCACATATGCCTGAGATGTCAGTACTTGGGAAGCAGATGCAGGAGGATTACAGGCCAGCCAGAGCTACATAGTAAAACTGTCATGAAACAAAAAAAAAAAGGCCAGGCACTTTGGAGGCTGAGGTAGGAGGATCATTAAGTGCTCCAGCTGCCCCTGGGCTACAGCATGAGCTCCAGGTTAACCTGGAGTAAACTGAGACCTTGCTTAAAGAGAAGGGGAGGGGTTAGGAGGAGGAAGAGGGGGAGGTGGAAGAGGAGGCCAAGTAATAGAGGTACTAAATTTTCTAAGAAGCAGTGGGGTGGTGGTGGCATACACGTTTAATCCTAGCACTCAAGGCAGAGGCAGGCAGATCTCTGTGAGTTCAAGGCCAACTCCAAAGCTACACAGAGAAACCTTGTCTCTAAAAAAATTTTTTCCTCCCCAGGAGCAACTTGCCATACATGCATAACCTTCACAAGGATCCAGGGGAAAAAAATAAGACAGCATCAGGGCCAGGTGTGGTGGCCCATGCCCGCAATCTGGAGGCAGAAACAGGTGATTATGAGTTTGAGGACAGCCTACTCTACACAAGTTCCAGGCCAGTCTCAAAACAGACTTTGCCCAAAGTTCAGATTTCTGCACTATCGCTGCTGGGAAAGGCTTCATAATCCTTCCTTTACAATCTTTCTATAAATATTTAAAAGAGCTGGGTGTGGTGTTTTTTTTTTTTTTTTTTTTTTTCCCGAGACAGGGTTTCTCTGTGTGTAGCCCTTGTTGTTCTGGAACTTGCTCTGTAGGCCAGGCTGGCCTCGAACTCATAGAGATCTGCCTGCCTCTGCTTCCCAAGTGCTGGGATTAAAGGCATGAGCCCTCCCCCGCCCCCCCCCACACACACCAGTCCTCAGAGAGTAAGTGCTCTTAACTGCTGAGCCTTCACTCCAGCCCTAGAAGAGACCTTTAAAGGGTCATTTTTCTTTGGAAGTATGGCCACTGACATATTGCTCAAGCTCCGGTGGAGAGCCCCACATCCATGCACACACTGGAAGTACTAACTGAACTTAATTATAAAAAGAATAGAAAATATACTTAAATCCCCAATCTTCCATCCACTGTAGCCAAGTCTCTTATCCTGTGGTCATCTTAGCCTCAACCTGTGTTGCCACTTGTCTCAACTTTGTCAGGCATAAAAAGTATAGATTAAGGCCGGGCGGTGGTGGTTCATGCCTTTAATCCCAGCACTTGGGAGGTAGAGGCAGGTGGGTTTCAGTGAGTTCGAGGCCAACCTGGTCTACAGAGGGAGTTCCAGGACAGTCAGTACTGTTAAACAGAGAAACCCTGTCTCGAAAAAAAAAAAAAAAAAGTATAGATTATACTATTATACTAATTTCAGGAGGTGACAGATATCCAGGAGTGTGCAGTGCTGGGAGACACTCATTTCCAGGATCCCAGGAGATAAGGTTGGGGCAGAGAAATGGTCTTATTAGACTGGCCTGGAACTTGCTCTGTAGTCCAGCATAGCCTGCATCTTCCTGCCCCTTCTCCTGAAATGCTGGGGTCGGAGGCATGCCCCATTAGAATTGAGAAAGGGGTTCCAATTCTTATCTAGTTAATAGTTGGTGTTTTACTTATTTTTCTATTGCTGTGAAGAGACACCAAGACCAAGGCAACTTAACAGAAGAGCTCATTTGTGCTTAAAATGTCAGAGCTTTAGTCCATGACCATCTAGGTGGGGAGCATGGCAGCAGGTGGGTAGACAAGCATAGGGCAATAGCTGATCACTTACATCTTGAGACACAACCACAAGGCAGAAAGCAACTGGGAATGGCATGTGTTTTTGAAACCTCAAAGTTCATCCTCTCGGTGACACACTTCCTCATCCCTCCCAACAGCCCCACCAACAAGGGATCAAGCATTCAAATATATGAGCCTATAGTGGGCCATTCTTCATTTTTTTTTTTTTTTTATTTTTTAGGTTTATTTATTTTGGTACAAGTGTTCTATCTGCATGTCTGCCTGCACACCAGAGAGGGCATCATATCTCACTACAGATGGTTGGGAGCCACCAACCATGTGGTTGCTGGGAATTGAACTCAGCCAATGCCCTTAAACTCTGAGTCATTCTTATTCAAAACACCACAGTTGGTATGTCAAGGGAAATCCACACTGACTATCCAGAAACTACGTAAAAATGTGTTTACCTGGGTTCTGCAGATAGAAGTCAGTTCACCAGAATTGCAAGGGAAGTGCCTTTACTATTTGTGGTGGTTTGAATAGGTATGGCCTCCGTAGATTCATGTGTTTGAATGCTTGGCCCATAGGGAGTGGTACTACTAGGAGCTGTGTGGCCTTGTTGGAGGAAGTGTGTTGCTGTGGAAGCGGGTTTTGAAGTCTCATATATGCTCAAGCTATGCCCTCTGTGGCACGGTCTCCTGTTGCCTGTGATTCAAGATGTAGAACTGTCCCTTCTCCAGAACCATGCCGCCATGATGAGAATGGACTACACCTTAAACTGTAAGCCATCCTCCATTAAATGGGACTGCCATGGTCATGGTGTCTCTTCACAGCAATAAAACCTTAGCTAAGACACGATTTGAGCCATTTTGCCAAGCCTTATTTTTTGAAATAAAGAATTTAAAAAGTCTCATTCTTAGCTAGTCTGAAACTTCAGCAATTCTCTTGCCTTGCCTTCTGAGTGCTGGGATTACAGGTATATGCCACAACCCCTGGTTCTACTGGTTTCCTTCAACAAAACCCCTCCCCATCATGGCTTCCTCAATGTGTCAAACCAGTGCAAAGTGACCTGATGTCTTCATGGGGTCATTGATAAGAAAGTCCCAGCTTCTCCCTCATTGTCTTTGCATTGTTAGTATTTTATTCTAACACTGTGCATGGGACCCAGGCCCCTTAGCACTTAATAAAAACCAGTGAATTGGGCTGGAGAGATGGCTCAGATGTTAACAGCACTGGCTGCTCTTCCAGAGGTCCTAAATTCAATTCCCAGCAACCACATGGTGGCTCACAACCATCCATAATGAGATTTGGTGACCTCTTCTGGTGAGCAACCATAAATGCAAGCAAATATTGTATTCATAATAAAACAGGATTTATTTAAAAACAAACAAAAAACAGTGAACCCAGCTGGGTAGCAGCAGCGCACATCTTTAATCCTAGCACTTGGAAGTCAGAGGCAGGTGGATCTTTGAGTTCAAGACCAGCCTGGAATATAGATAGAGAGTTTCAGGGAAAACCCTGTCACGGAAACAAAACAAACAAACAAAACCGTGAATCTAAGTGAAGCAAATATTTTATTTAAATCAGTTGTCAAACCACAATTTGTTCAAATGAACATAATGCAACATTGTTCTTAAAAGGGGCACAGATATCACAGACACACTCCAGTATCTATCAAAATACCATTTTATAAAGAATGGGACTCACTTGGTTCTGCTTACGAATTCAATCCAGGATATAAGAGTACAATCAAAAAAGTACAACAGATTTCCTTCTGCATGAGATGGAAAACCTATCACGGCCTTAGGCACACTCATCTGTCCACGTCATTAAGAGAAGGGACTTAATCTGCCACTAAGGAGACTGCTTTCCAACCTGAACTGGATTAGAAAGAAACACATCACAGTAATATTGGGACATTCTAGATGTTTCCAAATGGTGTTTTATTTCTGAGCTCCCTATGCGTAGGAAAACGACCACTTTCAGAGGACTACTAACCCATAAACCCAAGCTCAGTGACCTTTAAAATGACTTGTACCTTCCTCTCAGGAATGTTATTTCTCTATTTGCCACAGATTATAGTTGAGGCTCAGAGCTTCTCAAGGCTTCACTACAGCTGCACACCCGTCATATATTGTGTAATACAAAAGGCATGTGCTTAAATATTAGGAAAAAAAATATACAATAGGTACATGAGGAGGACTACAGAAAACATACATATAAATATATAGAGGAGGATGCTCCAGTTTGAGAAGTAGAACTAGGTATTGCCAACATTGATTCCAGGTTGAATGTAGGGACCTTCAATCAGAAATACATGGAATCAAGGGAAAAATCAAAGGCAGTCTTTAAACAAGGAAATGTTAGCTGGCTCTAGCTCCCGGTGAAGCCTCAGGATTGTCAGGGGTGCTCTCCAAGGTTGAAGTCAGCGGACAGCCCACTCTGAATCTCAAGGACTCAGCAATCTTGGTCTCAACAGCAGCATTTTTTTCCGTGGCTTGCCTTCACATTCTGGCCTTGCAGATATACAGTGAGTAACTGTAGGAGTAAGAAAGGAGAGAGAAATAAAGACCTCTTTTCCTGCCTCAATTTGTTGACGACACAACACAGCACAAGAGCTATGGGAATGGGGTGGTACACACCTTTAATCCCAGCACTCTGGAGGCAGAGGCAGGTGGATCTCTGTGAGTTCGAGGCCAGCCTGGTCTACAAAGTGAATTCTACGACAGGCTCCAAAGCTACACAGAGAAACCCTGTCTTGGAAAAAAAGAAAAAGAGGTTGGCTAGACAGCTCAGTAGCTAAAGGTGTTTGCTAGAACAATGTGGAGACCTGAGTTCAACCCTCAGAACACACACACACACACCCACCCATGCCACTGGTCCACACACACACACACACACACACACACACACACACGCGCGCGCGCGCCATAGCATAGGCACCCTATCCCACCCACATTATGTAGGCACCAACCCACGCAACCATCAAACATTTTTAAGGGCTAGAAAGATGGCACAGTGTATCTCCATACTGTTAACACACACACGATGGCATTATAGCCAAGGAATACTGACTTAGAATGTGCCCTGGATTCCAACCTCAACACCAACAGAAATGCATCTTACCAGAGCCAGATGTGGTGGTGGCTCATGCCTGTAATCTACTGACAGGAGACTGAAGGCAGGAGGATTACCTGGAGTTCAAGTCCAGCCTGGGCTACACAGTCTCTAAAAAACAAATAGGAAAGCTGGGCATGGTTGCGCACACCTTGTGATTCCAGCACTGGGGAGGCAGAGACAGGCATATCTCTGTGAGTTCAAGGCCAACCTGGTCTACAGAGTGAGTTCCAGGACAACTTCCAAAGCTACAGTGAAACCCTGTCTTAAAAAAGCAAAGGAAAAAAAAAAAAAAGGAAGAAAGAAACAAACAAACATAAGAAAAGTCAGGTATGGTGGGACACTTGGCACTAGAGAAGTGCAAGATCAGAAATTGAAGGTCATCTGTGCCATCGTTAGCTACATAGCAAGCTCAAGGCCACCCTGGGCTAAAACAAAAGATAGCATGGTCCATATTGTGTCCCACTGCTATAAGGTTAATCAGCAGAGACACCTCCTCCCAGGCTCAGGTGCACTGCAAGCTAAAAAATGCTCATCAGTGCTGCTGGGAACTGGGCTGGGCTGGAGTCCATGCTTCTCCCAAATAGCTATAAACTAGTTTTGAAAAGAGGATTTTGATTTATGTGTCTTTGTGTGAGTACGAATATGGTCACAGAGGTATTAGGAGGCCAGAAGGTGGCTGAATTAGAGATGGAATTGCAGGTGGTTGGGAGCTGCCTGACATGTGTGTTGGGAATTGACCTCTTTTCCTCTACAAGGGCAGTATACATTCTTATATTTTTGGTTGTGAGCCTAGCCTTTAATGGCTGAGCCATCCCTCCAGCTCCCGGCAGTACACACTCTTAACCTCTCCAGGCCCTAAACTAAAATGTTAATAGTTTTGGCTGATCTAGGTATGGTGGCACACACCTTTAATCCCAGCATGGGAAGGAGAGGGACAGAAGCCACCAGCCTGGTTAACATGGTGAGTTCCGGGACAGTAAGGCCTACATAGTGAGACCCTGTCTCAAAGAAAAGAAAGAAGGAAAAAAAAAAAAGAGCAAAAGGAAGCCATTATTTTCATGACACCAGTAAGACTTGGTGGGATTCTGATGAAAAAAAAAGGGGGTGGGGGGGTGGGGGGGCGGGGATGGAGAGATGGCTCAGTGCTTAAGAGTACCGTCTACGCTTTCAGAGGACCCAGGTTCAATTGCCAGCACCCACATGGTAGCTCACAACTGTCTATAACCCCAGTTCTAGAGGATCCGACACCCTCTCACAGGCAAAACATCAATGCGCATAAAAATAAATTTAAAACAAACAAACCCAAAAAATCTACCGTTGATAGATTACTTACTATCCTTACTCTAGTTGATAATTATTTCCAACTGAAGGTTCTGTATACAATCAGTTATTGCCATGTAATTGTATCAATGTGGGATGTGGGACAGGGAACCAACCTCCCAGAAGGAAGTTTACCTACCTAACATCTTAGGATTCTGCCAGGTCTCCCTCAGGCTCCCGTAGGTCCTCTTCTGTCTGGGGCTTCATCTCTTTGACTGACTCGGTGTGCGTTTTTCCTTCCTGAATCCCTACTTCCCGGGCATCTCCCTCCTCTGTTAGCTTTGGTCCATTGGCATCTGGAGACTCTTTGGTTAGATTTCCCAAGGCATCTGCCTCTGCCTGGGCTGAGCTTTGGTGTTGGAGGCCATCAGCAGCATGCCCCTTTAGATTTTTGGATTCAGGTGGCAGCTTCTCTACACTTTCTAATTTGGCACAATCATCACCTGGCACAGGCTTTGCTCCATTTCCATCTCCCTCTGCCCCGAGTGGGACAATCACCTGCTCACACTGCTGGTCTTTGATACTGACACTCTCAATTGCAAGCATATTGATCTTTTCTGAAGGCTTGCTCTTGCCTTCGGAAATATCAGAAAGGGCAAGCCCATCTTGGGCTGCAGCAGTCACTGCTTCATCTTGGGCGGAGTCTTGATGGCAGCTTTCTTCTTCATCCAGCATCTGTAGAGCTCCCTGGCTGTCAGCCTGCATCACCGGAACCTGGGTCTGTGAATCAGGAGCACAGACTGTGGGGGTTGTTTCGATGTGAGCGAACTGGTCCACGGCTGTCTGGATGATGTTCTCGACAAGCTTGGTGCTCTCACTCTGGAGCTCCAAGATCTCAGCTTCAACCTTGAGGCCTCCCTCCCTTGCTGCACTCTCCTGGTCATCTTCGTCATCTGATCTCTGTTTCTGGGATGCACCTATCTCTCCCTGCAAGTCAGAATGTAGGGTGTTTTCAGGAGCCAGTGATACTATTACTGGGACCGACTCTGCCTGCTTCTCTGGTCCCGAGGGCACAATGTCCTCTCCATGCTGAGAAGTCCAGTGGTCACCCTTTTCAGAGGACATCTCTGCTGGTATTAAATGTGTACCCACACACTCCAGACTTCCATCTGTTTCTGAAGTCTTGACAGTTTCTGCAACCTCCCTCATGGATACAGCTGTTGGGGTTACTGGTGGGTCCAAGCTTTGAACTTGAACCTGTATGCAACCTGCCTCGTCTTGGTCTGGGAGAGTGGAGCTTCCTTCAAGGCTGCTCATTTCCTCTCCCCTCTCTGAGATGGACGCGTCAACGGTCTGGACAGGCTGTGGGTGGGCTTCTTCACACTCAGGAGAGGCCGCTCTCCTTTCAGGTTCTTCACTCGCTTGCTCTGGTTTTGTTTCCATTTTCTCCTTCTCAACATCAGTTCCCATCTCTCTCTCCTCCGGGTTAAGGCTCTGCGCTTCCACACACTCCTTTTCTTGACATTCAGGCTCTGTTATCTCCTCACCATCTTGTGTCACTTCAGCAATCTTTTCTCGACTGTCGGGGCCATCTGTGTGTACTGACACCTCCAGTCCTTCCACACAGAGTTCGTCTTTGACTCTTTCGCCATCAGAGTGGCTAGCCTCTTGACCCACCTCGGTCTTTGCCAGAACAGGTGCTGCTTCCATAGCAAGCTCTTGCTTCACTGGTTCTAGAACATCTCTTCCCGGTTTTTCCCCATATTCTTCCTGGGGTGGAAAATTGGGTGGCACTGAAGGTCCCTCCTTCTGAGCAAGAGCTGCTTCAGCCTCTGTGACCTGTGACTGCCTGTCAGTTGCAATGGCTTTACTGTCCTGGCTTTCAATGACCTCATCTTGCTGTGCCACATCTGGAGTGTCTGAATCTGCTAGGGGAGTGCTTCCGTTTGTCTCACTGTCTGTCAGGGTTTCGGATGACTCGGGGGCTACAGCTTGATCCAACAGCTGCTGGGGCTCAATAGCCTGACATGTGGTGACTTGCTCCTTCAACTCTACACCCGCTGTGACTTCGGGAACTGCTTTGAGGCTATCTGGAGTACTCTGTCCAATCTCAGAGCCCCATGCAGAATGCTCAGCTTCACTTCCCTGCACGGGCTCTTCCAGCACAACGACATCTCGCTCTTTCTCCACAGCCAGCGCTTCAGAATCCTCTTCAACCTCCTCCACTTTCTCCAGTGCTTTCAGCCCCGCTCTCTGTACAGTCTGGGTGGCAGGCACTTGTGACTCCCCTTTTACCTTTTCTGCAACTGCCTGGAGGATGGCTTGTGTCTGCCGCTCCTGCTCTTCTCTGTCTGGCACACCACCCTCTACCTCCTGAACCGGGGTGGCTTCCTCTGTGGTGTCTGGAGAGTCGGTTAGTTGGGAAACCGCTGACACCATGTCTGTGGTCTCTTCTGCTCCCGATGCTTCAGTGACTTCTTCAGCATGGAGAGCCTCTGTGGTTTCTGCAGCTGTCACAGCTTCCGAGACGAATTCCACCTCGCTGATAACTGTGTCGTCATGGGCATCTTTGCCTTCTGGCAAGGTCTGGGTGGCCGTAGGGGTTTCTTTTGCAATGACATCTCTTTCAGTGACCTCCTTAGTGGAGGGTATGGCTTCGTGTGGCTTCCTCTTTGGCCTGTTCAGGAGGTTCTGTCACAGAAGCCGATATCCAAGAAGGAGACCGCTCTTCGGCACTGGTGACTGCCCTGGTCCCATCAATGACAGCCACACTGACAGTGTGAACCAGTGTCTTGCTAAGCTCCTCAGACACGTACAGGGCCCCCTGAAGCTGGGACCCTTCCTCACTCTCCTGAGCTTGCTGCGCGTCCATCTTCTCCCTTTCTACCGCATCATACTCAGACAGAGGCACAACAGCCGGGACATCAGGGTCATCTTCATTGACTTCTGTGGACGCCATGTCTTCAGCAGTGGCTTGTTCTTGCTTCCCATCCGGCCTTTTCTTCCGCCGTCCAGGGATAAATTTCTTAATGGAAACCCAAGATTCTTCTTTACTCAGCTCAACGTCTGAAGCCAATTGCTCTGTCCCGGAGTCTTCCGTTTTCTCCTCCAGCTTTGACTTGGATTTTTTTCTCGGAGTGACTAACCTTTTAAATGACTCCCAGGTGGAGACACCTTCCCCTTCAGAAGGGCTTCCAGCTGGCTCAGGCGAGGAACTTCCTTGCGCTTGGTCATGTTCCTGGGTGCTGCCGGGGACAGCATCTGCTCCAGCTTCTTTGTCTTTGCTGGCCTCTTCCACTCTGTGGCCATCCCCTCCCACTGTCCTCGGCCCTCCTTCGTCATCTGATGATGAGGCCTTCCTCGCTCTTTTCTTGGATGACCCCACGCAAATCAGTGCCTCCCAAGACACAGAGGTATCCACCTTGCGCTTCGGTTCTTCGGACTTTTGCTCATCTCCGACGGTTTTGACTTCTTCTTGCATTTCTGACACTGTACTCTCTGTGGAGGACAACGTGGCACTCTTGACCTTGTCCACTTCTTCTTCCTTGTCACTCTCAGAAGGTCTTCGTACCCGTTTCTTGGGTGTCACCATCTTTTTGAAAGATGCCCAAGGAGTGGTTCCTTCCCTTTTTTTCTCTCCGTCGGAAGTGGCTCCCTCCTCGGCTTCTCCTTCCTGCTGTGCTTCTGACAGCCCTTTCTCCAGACATGTGATCTCCTCCTGCTCTTCTGGGGAGGAGGCAGAGCTCTCCCCCTTCTGTTCATCAGCGCTCTCTGGGGACTCGGTTTGAACCTGTTGGTGTTCTCCTGGCTCTTCATCTCCTCCACCCCCACGTTTCCCCTTCTGCTTCTTCCCAGAGAGCTTCTTTAGGCCGGAGCTACTGAAGAGTTTCTTCAAAGGGCTTCCCTGTACCTTGATCCTCTCTTGGGAGGACAGCATCTCTGCCTCACTGACAATGCCTTCGGGGTGTTTGGGCAATGTCTTCTCATCGGGACTTAGATCTGTCAGCTGTGAATGGTCACCTCCAGAGACACACATTTCTTTGCTCTTCAGCTCCTCAGCAGGCTCGGCTTCCTGAGGGGCCTCCTTGGCCTCAGCCAGTTTTTCAGGGGGCAAGGATTCTCCTGTTTCTTTTACATCTACTTCGGCCTTCTCCCCCCCCATCTTCTCTACGGTGCTCATGTGGACTTCTGCAACAACTTCTTGGTGGGTTTCCACTTTCTCATCAAACACTTCTGTTGCCAACGGAGCACATTTCTCCTCTGATGCTCCCTCCAGGCCACCGACCTGATCTTCCAAGGGCAGCTCCACCTTCTCATAATCTGCGGACAACCTGGCCTGATTTATGCCTCCTGTGGGCTCCTGCTGCTCGGATGCTGGGGCTTGCCCAGAAGGACATTCTGTCTTGTCATTATCTTCCTCATGGACTTTTTCTGCCTCTTGCTCCTTTTTCTTCTCAGAAGTCTCCAGCTCATCCTCTTTCGGCTTCTTGAAGCTGGTCTTTTTGCGCCAGCCGGCCCAACCATGAGTAAAGAATTTCTTGAAGGAAGATGTTGTCTCGCCGCTGACTGGACTGGTCGGAGATTCTGCGTTTTTGGTGGGTTCTTTCTCTTGTTTTTCTTCTCCTTCGTTTTTGGCTTCTTCCCCAACCACCTGACCAGATTCAGCCTGAAGGGGAATTTCTTCGGTGCTGCACTGTGCTTGCTTTGGGGTGTCCTCCGGTTTCTCTGTGGATTGCTTCAGCTCACTTTCTTTGGGTGCGGACTCTCCGGTCTCCATGCCAGGCTCCTGGTGGTCACCAGCGCCAACTGTAGCTTCTGCCCCTTCGCCTTCATCCTTTTTGACCGTGAGGAGCTGGACAGTATCAGATTTCTCATTTTTATCCTTTTTCACGGTGAATTTAAAGCCAACAAACTTAAATACCTTCTTAAAGCCAACATCACTAGCCTGGGACTCTCCGGGCTGTGCCATTTCTTCTACGTTGCTTTCCGAAGCAGGGATCTGTTGGATTATTTCAGGTGTTTCTTCTTCCTGCCCATCCTTTGTGATGTCTTCAACAACTGCAGAGTTGGCAATCATTTCTTTAGCTCGGTCTTTTTCTCTCACATCTTCTGACTCTCTCTGTCCAACTATTAATAAAGACAAAAGAGAAGAAAGGAAAAATTATTTAGCCCAACAAACAAAATACTTGCATTAATACTAAGGTATAGGCTATGTAGGTGTTTATTAATGTTTAACAGATGGGCTGATGGGGGATGTCCTTCTGTATGTTTCTCTTATTGGTTGATGAATAAATGCTGATTGACCAGTAGCCAGGCAGAAAGTATAGGTGGGGCTACCAGACTAAGAATGCTGGAAAGAGGAACGGCAGGGAAGCAGTCTCCAGAGGGGGAGACTGCCATATAGTCACCAAAGGAGTAACATGCCGGAGCATTACCAGTAAGCCACATCTTTGTGATGATACATAGTTTAATAGAAATGGGTTAATAATTAAGGGAGAGCTAGCCTATAAGAAGCCTAAGCCATCAGCCAAACAGTTTATAATATAAGCTTCTGTGTGTTTATTTGGGTCCAAACAACTGCGGGACCAGGTGGTACAGAAATTTATGTCATCAATGGGCAATGGCTACTCCTTTCAAAGGACCATCAAAACTTCAAATGTTCTTCACACTTGCTCTGTACCTTCCCTTGGTTACCAAGGTATTAGTTCCATGAGCTGGAGAGGTAGCTCAGTGGTTAAAAACACTAGCAATTTTTGTAGAGGACCTTGGCTCTATTCCAAGCATCCACATGTTAGCTGGATCCAACTCCCTCTTCTGGCCTCTGTGGGCACTGAACACACACGGTACACAGGTATGCATGTAAGCAAAAACACTTATAGAAGTAAAAATAAATAAATCTTAAACAGGAAACACCTGAATACATGAGTAGTGATACAAAAACAAAATCTAGTAAATGAAGATCAAGGAGTACTATTTTTTAAAAAATGGGAGGGGGACTGGAGAAACAGCTCACAATTGTCTGTAACTCCAGTTCCAGTGGGTCAGACACCCTCACACAAGACATACACGGAGGCAAAACACCAAAGCACATAAAATTTTTAAAAATTAAAAAAAAAAAAAATCAGGCTTGGCATGGTGATGTGTGACTTTAATCCTGGCACTTGGGCGGCAGAAACAGCAGATACCTTTGATTTCAAGGCCAGCTTGGCCTAGAGAGTGAGATCAAGGACAGCTAGGGGCTACACAGTGAGACCCTGTTTTCAAACAAAACACAGCCAAAAGACAATGTTTGTGGGTTCAGTGTCATGTGTGTAGGTGTGTACACGTCTGTGTGTCTGCATGTAGAATGATATTGAGGTCTTCCTTATTAGCTCATTTTATTTACTTATTTTTTTATTTATTTACTTTGTGTGGAGGGTCCTGCCACAGAGCACATTGTAAGTCAGAGGACAATGTGTGGACGATGGTCCTCTGTTCCTACCCTGTGAGTTCCAATGGTTTAACTCTGTTCATCACTCGTGGCACAAAGCACCGTTGCCTGCTGAACCATCCTGTGGTCTCTCACTGAACCTGGAGGCCACCAACTTGGCAAGACAAGGTGGCTAGCAAATCCTGGCAATCCTCCTGCTTTACTGCCTTGGCATTTTCTGTGGGTTCTGGGAACTGAACCAGATCCCCATGCTTCTCTAGTGGGTACTCTATATATACCAGGCTCAAGGCATACATTACAGAGGAAAAAAAATGTTGATAAACAGATAAAACTTCCAGTTTGATCCATGAAGTCATTCTCTTTAGTTTGTAGACAGACCTCAATTAGCCCAGGCTGGCCTTGAATTTACTATGTAGCCAAGAATGTTCTTGAACTTTTGTCCTCTCTCCTATTACCCTCCAAGTGCTGGGATTATAAGCATGTGCCACCATGCTCATGTGTCTCTGTAGAATTTTAGTAGTAGTGGGGCTGGAAAGATAGTGGGGTTAAGAGCACTGTTACAGAGGAACAGGTTCAGTTCCCAGCACCCACATAATGACTCACAACCATCTGCAACTACAGCTCCAAAAGGCTCCTGGCATGGTATATGGTATACATACATACATACATACATATATACATACATACACATACATGCAGGCAAAACACTCACATAAAATAATAAACCTAAAAAATTAATTTTGGGGGTATATCACTGTGCCGGGTAATTTTAGGTCACCTTGACACTTGTCATCATTCTGAGAGAAGAAAATGCCTCCATAAAACCCAGCTGTAGGGCATTTTCTTAATTTGTGATTGATGGGGGAGGACCCAGCCCATTGTGGGAGGTGCCATCCCTGGGCAGGTGGTGCTGGGTTCTATAAGAAAACAGGCTGGCCGGGCGGTGGTGGCATACACCTTTAATCCCAGCACTCGGGAGGCAGAGGCAGGTGGAACTCTGTGAGTTGGAGGTCAGCCTGGTTTACAGAGCTAGTTCCAGGACAGCTAGGGCTAAGAGAAGCCCTGTCTTGAAACAAACAAGTATAAACAAAATTGCTAAAATCACTGGGTGAAAAGTTGTCAGAAAGCATGAAGTTTCTCAGTCTCAACACACAGGTGATAATTCAGTAAAATGGAGAAATCTAACAGGTGCCACCATAACCAAGTGATCAGGCTTGACATCCTTGCAGGAGGCACTGAGAAGGCACATGTCAGCCACATTACACATTGTCAAACAACCAGGGCCTCTCGAGCACAATGTTACAAAAGGTGAAAATCAAGCATGCAAGAAACTTCAAATAGCTGAAGAAGAGGGAGAAAAGTGTGGATGTAGAGGGAGAAAAGGCTAGATGCTCCTGTTTTTGTTTTTGTTTTTTTTCCCCTATAAATTAGCATTAAAAAAATCGTCGGGTGTAAAAAGCAAGACCACGGGATGTAATGAAGCTTGGAGGATGGATAACTGCAGTAACTGGGAGGATTCACAACACAGCAACCAGAGATTCTTCCCCTGCTTCTCAATCAGACAAATATTCATTGGGAAATGTCACTGAAAAGATTTTTATAAAGCAAAATGACCATCATATTAAACATTGAGGCAAACATCCAAAGAGGAATGAGAAGTCAGACACAATCACACTGCTCACGGTGTCTAATTTTTTTCTGCATTGAAGAACAACCCTTAATTTGCTCCTGGTAAGAATGTTAATTTGTGCATCCACATGTATGGAAATCAGCATGATCCAGCTATATACCATTCTTGTATATGGACCCACAGGACTAGTCAACATTCCACACAGTTAGTTGCATAACCATGTTTGTTGCTGACAACATGGCTGCATGGAAATGCCACAATGAAACCTGCTATTGTCTGCTAACCTAAAAAGGTAATCTAAAACATATTATGTATACCGTTTCATTTTTTTTAAAGCATTTGAAATAAGGAAATTGGCTTGTTTTCCACCCGTTCATACTAAAAGCCAACAATGGATGCTTGGAGCATTCCCATCAACTATGTTTTCTTTCCTTTGATTTATTCTGAGACAAGGTTGCATATACCCCAGGCTGACCTCCAGCTGGAGACCTCAGAATAACCTTTAACTTCTGACACCACTAAGCCTGTTAATGCAGTGTGGAGGATTGAACCCTGCCCTGGGCTAGGCAAGCTCTCTAGCCCAATGTTCAAAAATATTCCAATGCAAGAAGAGATGTGACCTTTTATTTATTGAAGGTGAGTTAATGTGGACTGTGTGTGATCCAATCAGTGACAAATTCTAATAAATTTTACTAGTAACCAGTAAAAGTATAAATTCAATATCCTGGCCAGACGTTGGTGGCTCACGCCTTTAATCCCAGCACAAGACGCCTTTAATCCCAGCACTCGGGAGGCAGAGGCAGGTGGATCTCTGTGAGTATAAGGCCAGCCTGGTCTATAGAGCGAATTCCAGGACAACCTCCAAAGCAATACAGAGAAACCTTGTCTCGAAAAGAAAGAAAGAAAAAAATTGAGTATCCTGTCACAAGCCCTCTCTGGGATTATGAAATGCAGGGATTTTTTTGAACAAAGATGGGAAAGTGCAGTGTTCCGCACCATTGCCTCTCAAGTGCACTGCCCGGCTAAGAACACGTGTTTTAATCCCTGAGCCATCTCTCCAGGCCCCATCCTTTTTCCCTTTATAAATTCTGCATTGGAATGCTTGAGCTAAAGGACACAAAAACAAACAGTATGCAGCCAACTAGCAGGACCAGACAGCTTCTTGACAGCTAAATGGCTAAGCAATAGAAACTGCTTTATGGACTCTTAAATCTTGGGAAGTCTTGAAGTCTTAACTGGCCTACTAGTCTACAATGTCCGTGTAGGTAAAATCTTAGTCACTGTTGTCAGAACAATTTCCAGATGCTCATCCGCATGGCATTCATTTTCCCCATTTGCCTATCAAGTTGGACACTCACGGTTTTGTGGGTCCCGGCCTCCACTTGTCTCCTGCCTCAACCCTGTACAATCTGTACAGAACTTACAGGGAGGTTCTACTTCCAAAAATTTGGCCTCTGCTGTATAGTCAAGCTATCGAACAAATGGTGGCCCGGGGCCTTGCGCTTAGTCTTCAAAACTACTAGGCCCAAGACCGGTTAAATCAGGTTCCAACAGGATACAGAAATGTCCTCGTGCACCCCTGTGGCGCACACGCGCATTTGCACATCCTACATCCTGCCCCCACGTCATGCGCTTGAAACCCACAGTGATGCCTAGATGCTATTTCTAGGCCACGCGCCGACACACTGTGACGTAGCAGCCCACGCAAATAGACCCCATCCACCTCCCTTCACGCTCCATGTTTGCTGGCTCCTGACTGGGAAGGAAGGAGTACAATGACCTTTCCATTCCTGGATCATTTTCTATCTCTCCTCTGCTGGACAACTCTGTCCCTTTTCCAAGCTACGTTACTGGAGGTTGTACCCTTTGTCTGGCTAGTGATCTGCTCTTGGGTAGCCTCGTGTACTGTCCCTGTGTTAAGATCTATTATGCTCATTTCCAGGTTAGATTGCGGTGGATTTTGCATGTGCAGCATGGAGGCTTGGCTTGGCCCCGCGCTCCAAGGCTGAGTCCACTCTAAGCGCAGTGCGCTGTGACCCTCAGGAAGACTGATAAAGGGTGGGCTGC